TTGTCAAGACACTGTCATGAATATTTATGGGTGTGACTATAGACGGGGTTTGGATTGGATGATTGGTCTTATTGCATTCATACACACCACTCAGAACTACACGTAATTATAGTGCTATCGCTGATCTACACGCTCTATATTTCACCGTTACACGCATGCTAGGTTTCTCAATTTTCACTAGTCGTATCCTGGAAACGGATTTTAACACAGTAATTATAGCAGCTGACTGAAAATGCAGCACACACGAAGTCTTCTTTGGACAGCCTAATTCCTTTCTTGCTATCTCTCCTCAATCAGCTTTGACTTCCGTTTCCAGAGGCTCCCTCAGTTCTGGTTCTGCTGGACTTGGACACCATTTCCATCGTTATAGCTCAACAGTACTTCGATTGTTGCTTGCTCATTCGTTAATGCTTCGATTCCGTTGGAACATGTTTACTGAGTCTTTGCCTAGCAATGAAAGTCTACTCTGACTCCGCTATTCCGGCTTTCAGGCGTCATACCACAGTACCATATGCCGAGCATTTACGTTACATTGAGCATGGAAAACTTGCGCATATGCTGGTGCTTAAACATACGAGTATGTAAAAGCAGAGCTGTGTCACCCAGATAAACTGAATGGTCCATTGGGCTGATAGAGTTTATAATTCCAATTTTATCTTCCTTTTTGATAAGTAAAAATAAATTTCTGTTCAGCTCTCATATATATCGTGGCTTAAATGGGTTGTAAGGTTCACGAATTACAAAAAAATTAAATGTAAGGGATGAAAGGTTGCCTTTGCGTAAGAGGGAGCTTCAGTAAATAGGTCACAACTGGATATGAAATGTATAACGTGATATTCGAACCTATAAAAACATTTATTTCTCGACATATCCTTCATCAACAACGATAAACTTGTCCAGTCGCTTTACCAGTGTGTCGAAACCCGCAACATAGAAGTGTTATGACTATTTCCTCAGCCACTTCCGAAACTCCGTTTCAACCTCTTCGTCATCAGCTAAACCTTTTCCATGAAGATTCCTTTAGTAGACTAAACAGATGGAAGTCACTAGGGAGCAAGTCAGAGCTGTAAGGTGGATGTTTAAGTAGTCCCCACTGTAGTTCTTGAATCCCCTCCTGGGTTGCTCGGGCTGTATGCGGTTTGGCATAGCCATGATGAAGCAGTATTCCTCGTGTCAACTGGCCTGGATGTTTTATGCGAATTGTATCTCGAAGCTTCAACAGAACTTCACAGTACGATGAAAAATCATATTTCCACACGCTTCTGAAAATGGGCTAACAGTACTCTCTGAGAATCCCAAAACACGATAAGCATAACCTTCACACTTGATGGCCTACTCACAACCTTAAAGGTTTTTGTTAAAGTTGAACTGGGTTGTTTCCATTGCATTGAAGCACGCTTTGATTTTGGTTGGTAGTGATGTACCTATGATTCATTCCCATTAACGATCCTGTTAATCACATATTCTCCTTCACCTGCATATCGTAAGAGATTTTGCAAAGACAGACACGTTCGGTTCATTTTTTCTCAGTCCTTCAGTTCTCTGGACACCCACCGTGCGCACACTTTCCGAAACTTCAAGCGATCATGCATTATGCTGTATGCTAAACCATGGGAACACTCTAGTGCAGCTGCTACACTGGCTATCGTTATTCTCCTGTCAGCTCGAATCAACTCTTTCACCCGCTGCAGAGTTCACTTAGTGGGGGGTGGAGTCCAACTGGGTCCACTCGGCACGGCGGCCACTAATTGGCCTATTGTAGCCTGCTCTGGATGATTATGATGATGGAAAATTTGGTGGAATGAAGATTGGCAGGTGCCGGTCACGATAGCCGAGCGGTCCAAGGCGTGCACTGGCTCCGCTCGCTCGGAAGTCGGGATCGTGGGTTCGAATCCCACTCAGGGCATGGATGTTTAGTTTGTGTGTACGTTTTTCTATGCTTGTGTACAGGTAGAGGCCTTGCGACGAGCTGATCACCCGCCCAAGGAGTCCTACCGTATGTCTAAGATCTAGAAAAACCGAAGGAGAAGTTCATGGAGGTAGGCCTAGGCCCACTGGGGCTGTAGTGCCAAGGGGAAAAAAAAAGATTGGCAGGAGAACCGAAGTACTCGGAGAAAACCCGCCCCAGCGCCACTTTGTCCACCACAAATCCCACTTGACCAGACCCGGGCCGCCGCGGTGGGAACGCTGCGGAATTGCCTCTGTTGCAGTCTCAAGAGGGCGACCTGGTCGGGCATCATCTGCGACTTTCGAACATCACTGAGAGATGTTGTAAACATGGAACATTTCTTTATGAATATCTTTGCCCACAAAACAAAGCACAACAGAAAAATGTTCTTCTGTAGTGCATCCTCAAGCACGGTCGCCATTTTGAATACTAAAACTAGCCCCTGAAAGTGCGCGTGAGTATGCGCGTCTGCTACCTAGACGGTTATGAAGCTAAACTGTACGGCTGCCTATTGACACACATAGAAAAACTATTAGGTCCATTACAGCTGTTTTACTCCCTGTTTACTAACTCCCCTTCGTATTTCGGCCGCTATCGGCCATCATCAGAAGACACAACCAACACTTCTCTCACATTAACATGTACCACATCGGATTACAGGCAGACAGACAGAAGGATATACGACCAACTATTCACCAGCAGTAGAACAATAGGGCCTTCGTTATGTTCATGACCTTACATAACAATATATTTAATTAATTTTAATTAGCACTAAATAATTACTATTAATTGTGTTCATATTTTAGTCTAGTCTCAGTTTCTAATGATTATAGAAATCCTCTTAAGACATCCAAAGTTTAACATATATGTAAAATATTCCTTTGTACTGTTAGGCACGCCTTCTAGAGATGTAACATGTATAATCTCGTATTAAATTTGTTGCATTTGGTGGACCTTATTAGTCATTCATGTATCAAGAAATATAAGGGCTCAAAATGTCTGTTATAAAGATATCATAGTTATTTTTTTTTCCTTTGCACTACAGCCCCAGTGGGCCTAGGCCTACCTCCATGAACTCCGTTCACTTCGGTTTTTCTAGATCTTACGCATTCGGTAAGACTCCTTGGGCGGGTGATCAGCTCGTCGCAAGGCCTCTACCTGTACACAAACACAGAAAAACGCACACACACAAATTAACATCCATGCCCTGATTGGGATTCTAACCCACGATCCCGGTTTCCAAGCGATAGAAGACAGTACGTGCCTTAGACCGCTCGGCTACCGTGACCGGCTATCATGGTTATTAACTTGTAATAATATAAACATTTCATGTACAGATATCTTTTTATTGTTAGTGGGATGGGACTAAGTCCCTTGCACTGCGGCCACTTCTGGCCTATTGTACCAGCCCCAGATGATAGGTGAGGGTGATTGTGGAGCAATTGGTAGAATGAAGATTGGCAGGGAAAACCGACGTACTCGGAGAAAACCTGCCCCAACACCACTTTGTCAACCACAAATCCCACTTGACCAGACCCGGGACCGAAGCCGGGCCGCCGCGGTGGGAAGCCAGCGACTAACCGCTTGAGCTATGGCGCGGTCGATGTACAGATATTAATATAACCTGTTTTAAGTATTAGGAAAACAAAGACGGTTTGCGTCAGACAGCCCCGAAAATTCGTGTTACTAATTCTGAGGGAGCTCTGAAATCGTTCATCGGTTCTTAATTGAGTGGAATTTCTCGCCAAGTCGGGCCTCATTTGGGTTTGTGCTGACCCTGGATAAAGCTTGGAGCCATTCTTAAAGGTGACACATCTACAGGGCAGCCAGACCTCCGTTCTGTGTATTCAGCCAAGTGCCGGGTCAGACATGGAGACCCCAGCTTTAAGATCGAGGATGTGATAATGTGCAACCTGACTGTGGTTACTATTCATTTCGCAGGGTCATGACAGATGAGTATGTACACTGGTAACAAGGTAAAACTATCCCTGAAACGGGCCGTAGAGGACCGCATGGTTGTGAGACGTCGAGGCACCCGTACTTTCTAGAGAATCGGCTCACACATGCCGGTGAATTTGTCAGCCTTACACTCCCGCCCCCCTTAACCCCCAGCAAGAATCCTGGTACTTATTTCTGCTAGAGGTTGAGTTGATCCCAGGGCCACAGTGCGGCTGGAAGGATTAGGTAAATTGAAAATCTTAATGATCTCATCGGGAAACGAACTCGCTACTATCCGACTTGTGACGTAGTGCCTCAACCAACTACGCTACTTCATGTCTCGGTGTATCATTGGTATAAAGACCAGTGGTAGGAGAACGGCCTATTCTACTGCCAATTTTTCACCTTGAATCTCATATGCACTTACCCGGTCTGAGACCGAGGCTCCGCTCTGAGATGTCAGCAACAGACAGCCTGAGCTGAAGCATAGTCACGGGCCATATTAACACACACGGAAGTAGCGTGACATCACTCCATTCTGAACACATAAACACATATTACACTACGGTGGCATTTTATGCGAATTTAAATTACTGCGATGTAAAAAATAGTAATAACGTTTCAATTTATGCCCAATGTTTAAAAAATGCGACCCCCCACCCACCCAAAATCTACAAGAATCACGTATGTGTTTCAAAACTTGGCTTGAATCATGCGAGGTCTTCAGGAAAGAAAAAGAGAAATCAATAAAATTCAAATGAGAGACGAAGAGAAACACAGCGTTACTTTGGCAATATGGGAAGCGAACTCCTTTACTAGTAATGTGAGTGCTATCAAAGGACGCTAACGTCACTTGCGGCAAAACAGTGTCCGCGTCATTTCGCAGTTAGCCTGATGTTACTGCACTGCATACACGAAATTAAGGGAATGATACTTAGCAGTCTCACATTTGCTCCCATTTAAAAAGATAAATAGATATCATGATAGTAATAATAACATTCAACAGTCAGATAACAAACCTATCTAAGCTTAGAGACTACCATTAAATTGAAAAATCTAATGAATCACAAATGACCCCGCATCAGTTAACAATTAAAATGTCTGATTTTTCCAGGTTGGACGTCGTGACCCTTTGACTATAAAGTGTAAAAATGGAAGAGTGAAGAAGAAAGTACGAATATCGACTTCGATAAATGAATTGTGTGTGATTTACCAGCGAAGTTGTGGTAACATGAAGCAGTTAAACAGAGGACTAAGGAGGAAATCCCTATACGTACAAGTCATTTTCTAATATAACTGAGGAAAGCAAATTCATGCTTAGCATGGAGAGTCATAGTTTTTTGAATAATTAATGTCAGAAGTAGCACGACTTTTACATTTAAAATTCACATTCTTAGAAATGTCTGAGAAATTACCGATGTGGGTAATCTTACTCGTCCTACTGATTACACCCATCAGCGCATTGCCATTTGCTTCGGATATGGTGGGCAGGGTTACTGTTGGTGTACTTGACCGGTACCAGTCAACTTGTGTCTACCTGATACACACTACACATCAGCAAGGTGAGTGCCATCACACTGTTGCCAACACGTGTCACGTCATGACTGTTTATGAACACAATGGGCGGAGTTGCTCCTTGCATGCTGGTCTCGTATCTGTGCCCTTGCTAAAGACACCGGCTCTTGTTGCGTTGACTAGTGGAAATGTAGGCATTCTGACCGTATATTGTGAACGGATATTGCTACACTCAAAGTACTTCGTAAACAAACATGTTTTATATAAAATTCGCCACAATTATTTTCGTCGTAACTTTCTGCAAATGAACTTCCACTAAATCAGACTTTACCTCGCAGCGGTGGCAGTCTTCTGGGGGCTTTGCTTGCCTCCTGCTGCACTTACTTAGTTAAGCACTATGCCAAGAAGACGTGTGGGGGAGTGGAGATATTGTTCCACCACTCTTGACCTCGGCAATAAAGGGAGGTGAGTTGTCAAATTAATGCTCCGGCTGCTTTAACCCTGGAGAAAGAGCTTCCACATCCATGGTATATGAGGCTGGCAGGGCCCCAGAGCTGATTTGGGCACTGTGGGGAAGAAAACCTTTCTTACTCCTGCGGGAAATCGAGTCCCGGCCGTTCAGCTCGTAGTACATTGCTGTACTGACTTGAATTACTGGGCCTGTGAGGAGTATTGTGTCCTGGTGGCTTTGTTTGCCGCCCGCTTGGCCTACTCCTCAATTCTGGAAGTGGTACCACAAAATCATGTCCCACCTCTGCATTTTCAAGATGTCTAAGTCTGATATCTCTACCAAATTCCATAGCGTGTCATGGGATTATCCTGCCTCCACTTACAAATGTAAGCCTACCCCTGTCATTATCATAAATCAGTGAGGCCCTAAAGTTGTTTCAATGTCTGGACCCAAGTAATCATTTTCTTTCCCCTAACTTTGGTGTAACTTGTTATTCTGTAGAGTTTCGTGGTCTCGGGATATTGGCCTGCAGCATTAGATAAGAACCGTACACGAACTGGAACTGACTGGAGCATTTTGTCTGGTTGTTATTAAGAGGCTGTTAGCCATACTTACGTCTGCCAGCTTTGTACGGAATATGTACACTGTTCAATATATATACTCTACATCCTGTAGTGTGTATTCAATCTTTGTGGTTGGAATACACGCTCAGCCAGCCAGCTGACAATCATCACCGCTGAATCATTACGCCACCGCTCGGCCAAAATAATTCAGTCAGCTCACCAATATCTTGGGTCACGACAATGGAAACGACGAAATGTTGTTGAATAACTACTGGACTGCGCAGTTTCACACCCTACAGGATAGCGCTCTAAATTTTGCTTCAATTAATATTCCGTTTGCAACATCAGTTTTCATGTTTGCTAAGCATGTTGCCTTTTGTCTCTGCGAAGACTTCGAAGTATATAATGGGAAGCATGATTGTGTCTGCATTTCAGCACTTGGAACCATCCGACTTCTGGTTACCTTCCTGCAAACCCTAAATTCTGTCATATGTTTATACTGCACTTCAGCTAATGCTATTTGTGTCTTTACAAGGAGAGAGACAAGCCTGAAAGCAGACATGCAACTTAATAACAATTTCTAGTCCCTAGTCTTCAGCTGCTGGACTTGTCTCTTCGGCTGTCAGAAATACGGCGAGTAGAAAGCTGAAGGGGTTTCAGAGGTTTCGGTAAACATTGTAGTTGTCATCTTCAGGGTAAATGACTTTGTGGGATGAGGGAGACTTGGCTGCTCTTACCCATACAGCACTCACATTAGGGAAGTGAGTCGGAGGTGAAGCTGTGAGGACCCGGATACTATCCAATAGGGAATGACCACGTGGACAGTGAAAAGCGAAACAGAAACCTGTTGGTTAGCATCCGACACACTGACTAATGCGAGATCTGCATTAATCCTGAAGATGGAAACTTCAATATCCAACGAAAACTTTAGAAAACCTTCTGCCCTCTGCGTCGTGTATTTCCTGAAGATGGAGTCACATATCACACATAAAGCAACCTTCATGGTGTGTGTAAAAATTCTATTATCTCTGTTATTTATAATATCTTGTATCTACTATTATCTCTTTACAGTTACTAGCAGACATTCAGACGTGCTTCAAATGAAAGCCATTGTAGCAGCGAGGCCGACAACTGTAGCTGTGATATTTGCTAATTCGCACATCAGGACTCTAAGGGAGGAGGGATGCCGCCCGCTGCGTCTCATCATCTCAGACAACGGAAAAGCAGGCCTACAGAAATATCTCAGGCAGGTTAGGCGAAACATTACGTTCGCAGATTAAGGCTACACAGTAGTGCAGAAAAACGTATATACCGCTCACATTAAGAGAAGACTATACATTTATGTTTGGAACAGGGACCTGAGGAGTGTGTTTGGGCCTAAGAGGTAGAGGTAACCAGAGGCTTAAGATATTTTCATAACAAGAAAATTAATAACTTTTTCTCTCTACCGGATATTATTAAGGTGATTACAACAAGAAAGACAAGATAGGTTTGGCATGTAGCAAGAATATAAGACATTAGGAATACATAAAAATGTGTTATTTTATGGTAATAGGCCACATGAGAGGCCTACTTGTTAATGGTCCCTATCCCGAGCCAGATCAACCCAATCCATGCCATTCCATCCTATCTCTACCCTAGAATTACAGCGACTACAAATGCATCAAGATCATATTATTGCCTTAAATTGATTTCTAACTTATTTGTGCAGCTGAATTCTGATATAAGAATTGTTTCTCTTTAGGAATCGACAATAAACGACATGTCGGAAGGAAGGTGGTTATTGTTCCTAGACAAAGTGACCTCACTGGAAGAATACTTCTCCGACGTGGATATTCCATTAAGCTGTGAATTTGTTGTGGCCCAACTATCAGATAAGACAAATGACAGAGACTTCATGGTGTCACTCACTGAGGTATTCTACGTCCATCCAAGTCGCCCTCTACAGACACACCGCATAGGTAACTGGAGTTCTGGTGACGGCTTCATGTGGTCCACAAAGCCCTTCGTTGACAGGAGAGGAGACCTTCAGGGTGTAACCATACAGTCAGGGGTACATTCCAAGGTATATTCTCGTTGTGACCAAGGTAAAACTTGACAAAAGGGCAGTTGTATTATCGAAACACTAACGATTGCCATTAAATGATTATTAGGAGCTCCCCAAAGAAATTGAGCGCTGCAAAGAGAGAACTGCACTGAAGTTCTGCGGAGAAATAGGGGAAATATGGCATATTTTACAAGAAATACTGAACTTCACGTAAGTACGCCTACAGAGCCATGTCTTATTTGTAGACGCCATGTAGTACTGAAGAAATAGTACTTCGTGAGTACCAGCGTTTCTCTGAATCAGGTGGCATATTTGAAAAATCACGTCTTCAAATTTGGTAGACTTATAAAAGTGAAACAACCTGCACCTTACTCGAGGATAAAAAAGGTTTCCATGTGCCATGTTAGTTCGCTTCTCGGTCGCGCATTGCGCTGACACAATCGTGAATTAAAATGGCGGACTTCCCATCACGCGAGAACTCCAAAAAGGACATAAGTGAAACTGAAAAATGCCTATTCTTTACTAATAGGCCTATGTTAAATTTTATTTCATAGTCACTTGCGTTTCGGAGTAACGATTTTCAATGTGTGACCCAATTTTGAAAGGTTCTGTAGTATACTGAACGGATAATGACAGGTCTTTCTTCTTTTGCCCTCAATGCTTCATGTTCAAACCTATGGAATGACACACATAAGGACCGCTCAGAACCAATTTACAGGCGTCATATGATCTGCAGCTTGGGCAGCTCTGACTTAGTTCTTTCATTACATTTTCGTCTTCATTATTTTCTGATCTGCCATTTCCTTAACACTTCTTAACACTGCAGTTGCTGCTCTTTGAATGTCTGGAACGCTTGCTTTTCCTAATCCAGTTTCACTTCTGTATGAAAATGTGAGAACCTTACACAATTTCAACATCGTCTCTCGTAGAGATGCAGGGCTTCACGGACGGACGGACGGATAAACAGGACAGATAGATAGATGGACTGACAGACGGACGGAAGGTCGGACACATTGACGGATGGACAGACAGAAGATAGATAGATAGATAGATAGGTAGATAGATAGATAGATTAGATAGGATAGATAGATTAGATACATAGATTAGATGGATAGATTAGATAGGATAGATAGATAGACAGACAGATAGATATTTGGGTGGATAATATGTTTCTAGCGAACTCCTTCGCCTTCACATGACAGCACAAACAAGGTTTTCTACCTTCAGAACCTATTTCTGTAGCAGGAATATTTAGTCATGCAACAAATGAACGTATTAAGCGCGATGTTTAGAAATGTTACTTATTAAATTGAACCGATATTTAAGCACAGGACGAATAGCTATGTATATTTAATTTAATGAAAGTAAGTAGTTATTGAAGTGCATACCTAGCAGAGTGCTGTTGTACTCAGTGATGAACCAAATTGATTTAATTTCTGCACAAATCCGGTGTAGCCCAGTCGACACAGCGATGGGCTACGGGCTGGGCAGCGAGGTGCTTAATGGAGGAAACTTTACCTTTACAGGTCAGCCTACTATGTAGCGGAGGACGGAGTCTTTGGTGCCAAAAGGGCGGACGGAACGTGGAACGGCGTTATGAATCTGACGATTAGCAAGAAAGTTGAAGTTGGAATAGGAATGTTTATATTAACAGAGGAGAGAGTGCCTGCTGTATATTTCTTGCCCCCCATATTGAATTCAAGGTAAGCCCAAGGTTTATTCTTACGGTTGGAAGAGTTCCTCAAAAAATGAAATGTGAACTCCTACATCGGTATCTTCGACTCCATTATCACACGTCTTATGGCAGTCTGCTCAGAAAATATCTTTCCGCCAAGTTTCTACTTCCCACAACTACGAAATCCGTACAGTTCGTAGGAATGACCTTAAACGTTAAGGTCTCAAATACTAGTACTCATGCCTACGGGCCCTCCTAGCCTGAGCCAACTTATTTTACGGCGAGAAAACAGAAACTGACAATAATCGTCAATTTCTCTGATGGTTCCACAATTGTTGCTGATATGTTAGCATCAATTTCAGTTTCACAATTGTTGCTGATATGTCAGCAGCAATTTCAGTTTCACAATTGTTGCTGATATGTAAGCAGTAATTTCAGTTTCACAATTGTTGCTGATATGTTAGCAGCAATTTCAGTTTCACAATTGTTGCTGATATGTTAGCAGCAATTTCCAAATTGCCAAACATTTCTAACTCATAAGTAGAGATAACTGAACAATATATGCATGGACCGTAGTCCATTTAAGAACGCTTTATCAATGGCAACGGTTATTTAGCGTGGTATATACGAATGGATGATCACGTTCGGTGCGCTTGAAAGAACTAGAAAGGCAGTAGTCCATGATAAACCTCCGTTGTTTGTTGTAAGAACCATTAGTTGTCCCTGTGCTTAACTAATTAAGCACTATGCCATGAAGACGTAGGGTGAAGTGGATGTATAGACCCACGCCTTCTTGACCTTGGCATGAGTCAGAGGTGTGTGTACAGATTCACGCCCCACCCGCTTTACCCCAGGGAAAGATCCCCGGTACCCGCTGGGTAGGAGGTTAGGTGGACCCCAGAGCCGGTCTGGACGACATGGAAAAGTGAAAATTCTTGCCCCCACCGGGACTCGAACTCCGACCTCTTGGTCGTCCAGCCCGTAGCCAGTCGCTGACTACGATATCTGGGTTCTTGTTAGAAACCATACGGAACACATAAATAGACTTTGTGGGCAGAATGCAGAGTTTTGATGTGTTAAAGCAGGTATACAATATACACCAGCAGGAATTAAAGTGTTAGTATTGGGTTTCTATTAATTTCTATTTGATTTTTAATAACTCCACTAACAGTTTTACAGATGGCGACCTCATACGTTGGCTACTGCTTGAGTCAACTTGGTCTGTAGCAGATTTAATCAACCAACTTAAATGACTACAGAAATGTTGGATCTGTTTCCAAAACATTATATTCTTTAGAATACCGGAAGATGGACAAAGTTCAAAAACTTAACAATCCTTTGTGCGTTCAAACACGATTACGAACCAGAACAGATAAAACATTTCCTAGTTAAGAATTAAACTTTTATAACGAAGGACCTTAACAGAGTTATAGGCTTTCTGTACATTGTCCACTGTTCTGTTTTTATTTAACATGACGTTTCGGAGGCTGTGCTCTGCGTTCTTCCTCAGGTAAAGAACCCAAGTATATAGACTCTCTACCTGAGGACGAAAGCAGAGCACAGCCTCCGAAATGTTGCTTTAAATAAAAATAAGGACAATGGGCAATGTCCAAAAAGTTAATAGTTGCATACAATTTCCTCCTGCACAACACATGCCACGAAAGCTTGTAGGAGATTAGGGAAAAAACTGCATCCAATCCGGACCTTGACATAAAGCCATCACTGTAACAGGGCATGGAGGCCCGTGGGTTCTGAGGCGTTGAGGGTCCCACGGTATCTAGACAATCTGCTCATAGATGGCGGTGAGGTTGTCAGCCTTACGCGCCGGCCACCCCTTAGCCCCAGGAAGATACCTGGTACTCATTTCTGTTAGAAGCTGAGTCGACCCCAGAGCCATAGTGCGGCTGGAAGGTAGAGGTCAATCGAAAATAAAAATCCACGTCATCGGGAATCGAACCAGTGGCCCTCCGGCTTCTAGCATAGTGCTTCAACCAACTACGCTACCTCGTGCCCCCAGACTTTGACATAGGTTGGAAATAAATAGTCAGCTTCACGCTCTCGCCGCTTTCCCTTAAAGGATAAACTCGTAACACCAATTACGTAGACGGCTCGGTGTGCCTCAGAACCGTTCGGACGCTGTGGGGAATAGAAATGTTGCCAGCGCTCCGGTGGGGATGACGAAGATAACAACACTATGTTCGAAATGTTTGCAGGATGTCGGTGCACATGCAGGAGCCTCGCACGGACGGATATACGTGGAGCTACATGTTGGCACCATTTTCATACGGGATGCGGTGGACTGTGTTCGCGTCTGTCCTGGTACTGACCGCCTTCCTGTCCACCACATGGTACTTCGGAGATAGGTTTGGGAACAGTCCAGAAGTTGAGAACTACAGCCTCTGTAACTCATGGATCACTGTGCTAGCCAGCTTCTTTCAGCAGGGTGAGACGGCTGTTTTTGTACAAATGAAACATACATAGTTTTGCCGCCCTCCTCTTCTTCTTCTTCTGTCGTCGTTACCGCTCAGTGAGACTTCAAGCCTCTCGAGTTGGTCGTCACTTATTACCGTCCTTCACGTCCGCCCCTTTGTGGTCTGCACTTGTATCCGCCGCTTCCTGTTGCTTTCTGGTTCAGGGTAAGGAGTGGGATTATGCTGAATTTGGATTTGTGTGGGCGCCAGTGGACTTGGATGACATCCACGAGTTTTGAATGGGAAAAACAAAGGTGGGGATTTGGATGGGGGGGACGTTTGGGGTTCCGACTGCTCAGACGGTAGGACGAGATTCTGTCTCAGGGCGACTAATGGGCCTTGCTCACACAGGGAGAGAGAAAACACTGAAAACACACCCTTCACCAACACTGTTGCGTTTATTGTAGATGTTCACTACAATTACCTATTACCCGGCTGTAGCACTTTGAATTGTACACTGGACTCGGGCCAACACCGATTTAACGTCCGGGAGGTTACTACTGACTCCGGTTATTCCATTTGGCTAATCACGCCCGCTATTTCCTTCTGATGACTGACTGCTCTGGAGAGGCAGAAGTCCCGACGGTTCCGGGAACGCCTGGATTCCTCTCCTCTGAAATTTTGCTAATTTTCTGAACCTCAAATTTGGGTGTTTCTTTCATTTGCATTCAGCCAATCCCTAACCAGATCCATGTTAATTTGGGCCTAAGTACAACACGGTCCCTCTGACAGCTCTTAAATAAATGGAGGTACGCTAACAATCGCTCGGTACGCCCCTTCGAAAATTATTGCGACTCGTTTCTGTCAAGTCTCAAATTTTCAAAGACTCGAACCGTCGAAGTTAAGCATTGAAATCCCCAGAAAACACAGCGGGATACTTCCTGCTCCGTTCTGGGTTTTCAAATGACCTGCAGCTTGCTTGTCCCTCAGAAAGACCAGATGTTGTCCTTGGCGTCTGCTGGTGCTGGGGTCAATTCTGTATCATCTATTGTTAACAGTGGTACATTTCGTTTCCATGTAGTGCACTGTAATTAACAATGTAAATGAAAAATATTCCTGAGGTCCCTGCATGGTGCGGTTACAATAGGTCGGATAAAAAGTAGTGGCAACACCTCTATAGTTCTGAAATGACTTTATTACCTGAGATAAACACACTTACATTCCTTCATTATAATTGCCCCCCATGTGTACCACCTTTGGCCAAATTTGTGGAAGGCGTCGCACACCATCAGCATGTCCACCTCTGTTGATGTCCAGCAGTGACCGCCCTACAGCACAAATAATCTCTCTTGTGTTGTAACATGTCCCTCACAGTGGTTCTTTCATTTTGACAAAGAGATCATAATTGCGCGGACTCATATCGGGTGAGTATGGCGGATGTTGCCATATCTCCCATCACCAGCGGCTAAGGAGATCCTTGACAGCGTCAGCAGTATGAGCCCTTACATTGTCATGAAGGATGATGGGGCTCATTGGCAACAAGTGTCATCGCTTTCTCCTGAGTGCTGGAAGAAGATTATTACACAGGAAATTGCAGTAGTAGGCAGTGTTTACTGTCTATCGTTGAGGTACAGTGTAGTGCAGTATCACTCCATCAATGTCATAGGCCACAATGAACATCGCCTTCACATTACTCTGTGTAGGGCGCACTTTCTTTGGACGGGGAGAGCTAGGATGCTTCCATTCATTTGATTGTCGTTTCAAGTGCAGTTCATGTGAGCGAGCCCCAGATTCATTTAGAGTGACGATCCTTCCAATGAAGTCATCACCTTCCCTCTGGTACCAATCCAACAAGTCCTGTGCAATTGCATAATGTTGCCATTGTTGCACCTCGGACATTGCATGGGGTACCCAACACGCTGCAATTTTGCGGTATCCAAGAATATCGTGCAGAATGTGGAGCACGGTTTTGTGACATACGCCTACCTCAGCAGCTAACTTCCGCGCAGCTCATCAACGATGGACATCCAGCAAAGATGCAAGAAGCTGAATTGTGTGGTTGTCAACATGGGGTCGTCCCGAACGACGGCTTTCCTGAATGGCATCCCTCCCTTCACGGAACAATTTCACCCATCGTGCCACTGTGCCATATGGCAAAACAGCATCACCACATGCTTCTCGCGGTCCCTGATAACAGTTTTGTGCACTATGATCTCGTGCAACTTCGATTTTTATCCAGGAGCGTTGTTCTTGTTTCGTAAACATGTTGTTAGGGTGCTTGAACTGTGCTCCTCACTTCAAGATGATGCACAATACAACACAATGAAACACAACCAGAGCCACTCACTGCACTACTTCAACTGAACTTCTGCTATCAGCTACAGACGGCGCTAGTGCCACCTGAAGCACATCTTTCATGTTACAGCAGTGTTGCCACTACTTTTTATCCAACCCTTGCATTTAGGTTCAGAATAATTCGAATAAAATTCACGTTCATGTTAATATTTTCCTATTTGATTTTAGCTTTTCTTGGAGTTTCTGTCTTCTGAATAAATTTATATGTATTGATAAATCTGTGACAAGATATACGCGAGCTTTCAAGAATGTTGTCTTCTGGGATGTGGCTCTGTGTAGCTCTTGTGTAAACGGACGTTTCGGACGAACGAATCGCCTCCATCTTAAAGGTAGAATAATCCGAGAGCGAGGGACCAGCTGAGTGACTATTTGCTTCTCAAGAGGAATTCGTTTCAGAGTTACTTTCATCACGATCCAGCAAAGCCGGAATGTCAGTGTGCACCTGTTACAATCCCAGCATGTTTATCTTGCCAGTCTGGTTAGTAAGTATAGGCCTAAGCGTTGACGGAGAGCTGTAAAATGCTTCCCCTCTCGAAAATGAAACTTCACTTACTGGTATGTTACAGGCCATGCCACTACCCCGAGATCCTGGTCTTGCCGTCTCGTCTTCTTCACATCATACCTGACGGCAGTGACACTGCTGGTCGCGTACTCGGCCACATTCATTTCGTTCCTGGCTGTCAGGAAAACGGCGCTCCCTTTTGCAGACTTCGAAGGCATGCTTAATGACGGAACATACAGACTTGGATTGTTTCCTAACTCTGCACAAATGAACTATCTTCAAGTAAGTAAAGATGGCGTCCGTCTTCCGACGAAGTCTCACTCTTTCTGTGATCGTTCCATGGCAAAAGAATTCTAATTTATTTCAAAATCAGCTGCCCGAACACTTAAGAGCTTTAATTAGTAAGAATTTCCAAGGCTCCATTGTATTCCGTTCCACCTTCCTTAATCCGTATTCAGTAGAGCATGAAAACACTGCCGGCTCTTCTTCCACTCATATGGATCATTCAAACTACGCCACCTAAAATAAAAGGCAGCATCATTCCACCCGTCAGCCATTTTGTCTGTAGCTTTATGAATTGTCATTTATATAAAGCAAATTGGCAAGAGCCGGGATAGCGCAGTCGGTACAGCGACTGGCTTCCGGCTGGACGTGAGGAGCCGGGATAGCGCAGTTGGTATAGCGACTGGCTACGGGCTGGACGTGAGGAGCAGGGATAGCGCAGTTGGTATAGCGACTGGCTACGGGCTGGACGTGAGGAGCAGGGATAGCGCAGTCAGTCTAGCGACTGGCTACTGGCTGGACGTGAGGAGTCAGGATAGCGCAGTCGGTATAGCTACTGGCTACCGGCTGGACGTGAGGAGCCGGGATAGCGCAGTCATTCTAGCGACTGGCTCCGGGCTGGACGTGAGGAGCAGGGGTAGCGCAGTCAGTCTAGCGACTGGCTCCGGGCTGGACGTGAGGAGCAGGGATAGCGCAGTCAGAATAGCGACTGGCTACTGGCTGGACATGAGGAGCCGGGTTAGCGCAGTCAGTATAGCGACTGGCTCCGGGCTGGACGTGAGGAGCCGGGATAGCGCAGTCGGTCTAGCGACTGGCTCCGGGCTGGACGACCCAGGGTCAGATTTCGAGTTCTGGTATGGTCAAGAATTTTCTCTTCTTCACGTCGTCCAGACCGGTTTTGGGGCCCACGCGGCCTCTTATCCAACAGGTACCGCGGGCTTTTTCCCTGGGTGTAAAATGACCAGGGCGTGAAGCAGACCACTCATCTCCAACTAGTGCCGAGGTAAAGAATACTTGGATCTATACCTCCCCTCCCCCATACGCCTAAATGGCGTAGCGCTTAGTTAAGCACAGAACAAAATTTACCTTTTACCTACGGTAAATTTATACTTATCACATGTGAACATCTCATAACAACGATTATAAATTTCGTGTTTTCTGGTGTGTGATGGTGTGTACGTAATCTGGTAGTTACCGATGTTTCAGAGGAACACGCTGCCTCCACGAACCCTGAATATGGGGGCAGTTACGTCCCTGCAAAGAGATCGGTAACAATCAATCAGATGCACAGAGCAACACACGAGAATATGGCGGCCTACATAGACAATACATGGACTCGAATTAGGTGCATAAGGAACCGTCACGAATACAGATTTGAACCTGGTACTTGATGAAAGCTGCTGAAATTACCTTCAAGACGATATGAGTGAAGGCTTAATACCGCTCGACTCTCACAGTGGTAACTGCTATGAATCAATTTCAACCCCCTTACCCCTCTTCTCGTGCAGTTACTAGCATTATCAGAATTACAGCAGATCGAACGTTGTGGTATGCAAATTACTGGCATCAAGTTTGGGATGGTGTGCAAATGCAGTATTGACAATTCTTCTTTACAGAACTCGCCAGATGCAATACTGAGAGGCGTCTTTGAAAAGCTTGTGAAACCGGGATACGATAGTCTGCCAACGAATGATGTTGATGGTTTGCGACGAATATGTGGCAACTGGAACTACGCATTTCTCATATCGCCGTTCTTTGTGAGACAATCTTACGGCTACTACCACTGCACACTTGTAGAAGTCCCAGGCGCGTCCTTGCATACCTCCGTCTCGATAATTATGAATAAGAAGAGCAATTACAAGAGACTCTTCACACGGCGGTAAGTACTGCACACATACAGGTCTGTGGTAAACGGAACTTCTGAAAGCCACAGGCCTAGTTCACTTACATAACTTTTACACTTTTCAATTTGTTATGTCTTGAAATACCAACATATTTTGTCGGGTTGCAATAGGTTAACGAAGAGCTTCTTAAGTGAGTTATCTTGCTCTCATTGCTGACTAAAAAATATACGCTTCTGGCATGTGATATCATGTGACATGATAAATAGATATCAAAGTGTAATACTACCTTGTAGTACATAAACCCTTCACTGGTACTTTATATTATTTTGAATATGTACTTTGTGTTAGCCATAAGATTGCTTCATGAAACAAATTGAACTGTCTGGCTTAAACGTATATATATATATATTCGTATATATACAGTATATATGCGTGTTTTCAACGCCTGAAATTTTGACATTTCGATAACTTGTTTTCTCATCATGACGGAGAGAGTTTGACTTTCTAGTTCACGTACGCACAACTAGACTTTTTACTCGTGGTTCTCCACTCTCTTTGGCCCAGTCTTAATATTTATTATATAAGGCCAGTAATACTGGAAACAGTAGGAGACTTCTTGTAGTTCTGTACAATATTCCCAAATCCTATCTATACATTCTTCTATAAAACTAATTGTTGTTGAGCGTAGAAAACTGTCTTCATTGAGTGGATTCCTTACCCACCTTGCCCGACGAAAGATATTACAAAGGTTTAAGGTCTTTCATTCTGGTCCGTCACACTAACCAATTAACAATCAAGTTCCTTCCGTCAAATGTGACACTTTTTTAAGTTTTCCACCTCGTCAGCACCTGCTGAAGTTTTGTGTGTTGGTGATTTCTTTTTCTACTATAAATGCCTCTGATGATGGCTCCGTGGTGAGCCGAAACATGTAAGGCAGGTGCTGACGAGGTGGAAAACTTAAAAAAGTGTCACATTTGACGGAAGGAACTTGATTGTTAATATTACAAAGGCTTTCTTGGGACCTTTCTAAGCGGAAAATAGAAGCAGCATGTTCTCCAAAACATTGGTATTTATTCATCACACGACACGAGGCCACATGCCAAAAGACAGTAATCTCAAAGGAGCTTCAGAATTTGTATTCTCCACAAAATATCATCTACTTTACCAAACTGAGTAAGATATACAGAACTATAAGGTTAATTTTGTACTCTATCCATCGTCTGGTATATACACGTATAAGACAAAAACCACAACGTTTCGAAGACTGGATCTGTCTCCGTCCTCAGATGGATAGGGCAACATAGAACTACTCAGTTGGGTCCGTTAGAAAGAGATAGTCTCAATCACCGGACAAAACCCAGTCAGTAGAACAGTCTATAAACACCTGACAACAGGTTCCATCAGGGGGAGATAAGAACAAAATCACAATAAAAGACGAGCTAAAACTTTTGTGCCAAGCATGCACATGTCAAAAATGCGATAAAACAGTGGTATGGATTAAGTTCCAGGAATTAAGTTAAAACCGAGGGTAAAAAATGTAGATGATGTATAGCTAATTATGCAGATAAAGAATCATGCCACCAGGGCGACTTCTCGAAATAAGACTAAACTCCAGAGCAAAACTAGCAGATGTAGCGGAAGACACTGATTTTCCTAAAAATTTTCATTTTGACTTGATTACCTCTTCATTGATGAGGGGGATCCATAAGGGAGAAATATCCAAACTGGGCTGGCTGATCGGATTAGGTGAATATGCCATGTGAGCTGATTCCTTATACTTTCTGTGCCTGTTACTTTCAATCTCCAAGACCGTAGCTTCGTTCCAGCCTACCTTATGGCCCTCTTCATATGCATGCTGAGCCAACCTGGATTATTCTAGAAGACCCTGCCTGAGATTATGCCTGTGTTCGTGGATTCGCAGGGCCAGCGGTCTGCCTGTTTCACCAATATAACTTCTGCCACATTCACAGTGAATGCTATAGATGCAATGTGCCGTCTGCTGAGGATTCCTTTTTGGTCTCGTTCTCACGAGCGAAGATCGTAAAGTCTGTCTAGCTTTGAAGACGGACCTAATATTATACTGGTTTCCTATGCGCTTAAACTTCTCAGAGATGCCCTTGACACACGGGATATAAACCGTGCCAAGACCTTTTCCTCTTTTCTCTGATGACTACTACCCTTGGAACTGATAACCGAGTCAATAAAGCCTTGAGAATAAACATTGAGTTGCAGGTCACGTTTCAGGCTGTCAACCTTCATTAACCGGTCTTGCCGGTCTTGGCACATAGTGGTAGCTCTATCATGAAGACTATGAACAATTCCTCTTTTGACACGAGGGTGATGGTTGGAATTGAAATTAAGATATCGGCCAGTGTGGGTAGGTTTCCTGTAAACTTCCGTGGTCAGAGCCGTCCCAACTGAGTAGGTCTATCTTGTCCCATCTACCTGAGGACGGAGTCAGATCCAGTGTCCGAAACGTTGTGGTTTTTGCCTTATATATATACCAGTCGATGGACAGAGTCCAAAATAAATCTTATAGTTCTGTACAGCATACACTATCGTCAGAATCCTTTAAAGTCTATTTGAGTAATATACAATATAATAGGCAGGACGCATGGGGGCGGGGGGGATGGAAAATGCACACAGAATTCTAGTTAGAAATCATGAAGGGAAGATACCACTTGAAAGGCTTAGATGCAGGAGGACAATATTGAAAAGAATCCTCAAGACGCTGGGACTGGGATTTTCTTCCAGGCTTCGGCACGGTAATGAACTTTTCAGTTTCATACAGAAAGATAATTTCGTGACTAGGTGTGTAACCGCCCTCTCTGTGTACTCGTTGCGACGTCTTCGTCAGAAGCGCCTCTTCTTTAACTGCTCTCCTCACCCGCTTCTTCTGCTTTTTGTTGATGACGCCACCTACCTTTTTATTTCTTCTTAAATTATTTTCTCAGGGTTAGGATTAAATTTCTCAGGGTTGGTAGGATTAAGTTTCTCAGGGTTGATAGGATTAAGTTTCTCAGGGTTGATATGATTAACAAGGGTGAGGTTGTTGGGAGCGGTAGAGCTGAGTACTCTGTCTCAAGGTCTTAACGTGCCACACTTAGAAAGGCAGGTAGGACACCTTTATGCAACACCACCAAACTTGAATTTCAGAGGTATTATTATTATTAATAAGCGAATTTTGTATGATAACTGTCTCTTCTATATGCATTTTAATTTGACGCACTTGATTAATGGAATGAGTAATGAATGAAAGTCTTAATGGAAATTTTATTTTAGTCCATGAGAAATCTTGATAAATTTCTTGATCATTGTTTAAGGTGTATTATAAATATTGTGACATGCTGAGCTATGGATGACGTCCCTCCCCCACCCCCCGCCAGCCGTGATGCGCCGAGCGAAGCCGAAGCGAGCCGATGTTAGCCGAGTCCTAGCATCCTGGTCGCTAGGCAACGAGAGTCAACAGCGGTGACGTCACCAAGTAGTAACAGCGGTTACTTCCGCTAGCGTTACTAGCAACACAGCGCCAGGCAACAAGGGTGCCTATTACGTGGCCGTTTTCCGTATTGTCCGATCGAGGCTACATAAGGAGCAGCGAAGGCTATTCACAGTCAGTCAGTCAGTCCTGGAGCTACCGCCGAGTTAGTCCTGGAGCTACCGCCGAGTTATTTCCGAGTTAGCCAGCAACCAGCCAGTTGTATTGTGGCATTTGGAGTGTACTATTGTGATACTGCAGATAGCAGTAATCGTAAATCTGTAATTTGGGTGATTGTAAGTGCGAATGTGAAATAAAATTCGCTATACAAAATACAACAAGAAGTTATTTGTCGCGATATACGCCCGATACGCGACAAATACGCTGTGTTGCTAGTAACGCTAGCGGAAGTAACCGCTGTTACTACTTGGTGACGTCACCGCTGTTGACTCTCGTTGCCTAGCGACCAGGATGCTAGGACTCGGCTAACATCGGCTCGCTTCGGCTTCGCTCGGCGCATCACGGCTGGCGGGGGGTGGGGGAGGGACGTCATCCATAGCTCAGCATGTCACAATATTATAAGTTTTTACTTCATTTAATTGCAATATTACTGTATTATTGTATAGATACTATGTATTCTAACTTGACTTGTTCCATATCCTATGGTGTCTCGCCTGTACTGGATTTACGGAATGTAAATAAATTCAATTCAATTCAATTCAATTACTCTTGATCAATTGCGACACTTTCATTTTACAATTTATCAAACACTTGTCACTGTCGGACTGTTTGCTACCTTCTAAATTTAGCTCATCCTATTTAATATTATTATTATACTTCTAACCGTGGTTTCACACTTCACAACAGATTATTACACTTTATCATTACAGCTTGTTACTATAAAGTTATTTCTGATCTAGATAGCCCCGTATGTCACTTCACGTCTGGTTCTTTCGAGTCCCGGTTTTCGAATGACGCTGAAAAATGACGCTTCCTCGGACATTCAATTCCTGGCTTTCACCAGCGTCCTTTTCTGTCACACACTCAAATTTCCGTGATTGGTCAGTTTAAAATTTAGAGGTATTCTAATTAGACATTCCTCCAATCACTTTAACTCTTACAAAGGGTGAAGAAATTCTGTCTTAACGAATTCCTGTCAAAAAGTTACGAATGTGTAGCGTGGCTTGGGTCGTAAACCCATCACCCTGCTAAAATATATAGCTTGTAGAAAATTGTCAACTAAAAATTCACAAAGACTTCTGTAGCCATTCTTTACGTAACTTTCCCTTAATAAATCTTCAACAGGTATCTTCCTGCTTTTGGTGTAAGCGTGGGAAGACGCTAGCTCTTAAATACAGGAATTGACCTAAGTCTCACTACACTTGTTCATGTCCTTACATTCAAAAATTAAATTTCAAATTAATAGCATAAATCATATTTAAATAGGCAGCACAGCAGTGGAACGGTTAGAGGTGGGCGACTATTAGCTTCTCAAGAGGGGCTGTACTCCATAGAGTTAGTTGGTTGTCTAGCTACAGTTTTTCACAGAACGTTTGG